CCAACCCTGGCTGCTACACTCTGGTTCTTTCTTTTTCTTGGTCAAACGCTCGCTCGCTTCTCCCTGGGAATGGCCGCGCTAGGCGACCCCCAGCCCAAGCCCTAAGGACAAGCAGGAGGTGACCAAAAATCAGTCGGTAGCTTTCCAGTGCACAGGAGAGAGATGGTGGACTGGGGTCTCTACGCAGCAAGAAAACCCAATAAAACCAGAAAGTGGAGGGGGAGGGGCCAGGTGAGGGCCATTACAGAAAGGGCTGCAGCTTTCACCCCAGTCAGCCCCCAGGCAAACCCTGTCAGAGACCCGCCCTTTCCACCCTCCCAGGCTATGCATTGAAGAGTTTTCCACTCTCTACGTTTTTATCCAGATGAAGGTATTTTTATATTTTGACAATAGGAAAATCCGTGACCAATGTTCATGGAATACTCAAATCTGGAACACAAGGACCGTCTCCTTCCGGTCACCACCGCCCTGTCGCACTCAGGACAAGTGTGGGGGGGACACCACTTTTTACTGTTGACACTCTCCCAGCGTTGAAACCTAGGCTTCCAGGCGGAATGGAGTCTTGGGGAGCTCAGACTGGCTTTTGTGTGACGGGGCTTGATGAAGCACTTAGTGTCCAGCCTTTGAACCCGGGAATCCTGTTGTACTGAAAGCCAGCGGACAGACCTGCGAACGGGGGAAAAAGAAATCCACAAAACCGTTTCTATGAGAGATTGATGAACTTTGTTTAAGCTTTTAAAAAAAAAAAAAAGGAACAAGTTCTGTAAAACAGTGGATAAATACAGAATTGTATAATAATGTTTGGGTGTCTGACTTGCTTTGTTGTGGAATTGGGTTGCAGACTGGGGGGGGGGGTGCAGATATTTCCTTTGTTTTACCCACATCACATAAAATCCCAACTGTAAATCACAAGATGTGGTCACTTGGACAGGGTCCTTATTCTCATGGGACCACAGCCAGCCCAGGAGCAGCCACCCCTTAAGAAGCCCACATGTTCCTAATCCAGCTGAAGCCTCGCCTATGCCACCTGCCTGGCCTCTGTGGACATCTGCGTGGGCTGGTGAGCATTGGGTTCCAGCAAAGGATAATGGGAGGATTGGAACCCCTTCTTCCCCGGATGCAGCAGGCTCTGGGACCTGGCACGTAGGAGCCAGGATTGTCCCTGCCCCAAAATCGGTGGCCATAGGCCAGGCCCCTGCTATTCACTCACCAGCTTGCTAGCTGCAGATGGCTGAGGCCCCCACTTGCTGATGGAACGAAGCCAGGAGGACCTCCTGTGACCTGCACCCCTGTCCCAGGTATGTGACCGGGCCCCTTGTTTCCTCCCCTATAAAACAGGCCCATCACAGCAGACAGCCCAAAGGGCATTAGGAAGGGTGGGGCCATGTGTGCCCACAACCAGGGCTCCATGACTGTGCGCTCCGAAATGGCCGGCTTTTCAGCTGACACTGGTGAGTCTCTGCGTCTGGCTGCGGCGAGCTCAGGTGTTACTCGTCATGGCCACAGGAAGCTCCCAGGCAGACTTTCCCACTTTGTCTGGAAACTTCTGCCATGAGACCTAAACCAGCCCTTTCCCCCTTTGGGTTAGGATGACGGATGCCTCTGAGCCTGCAGGACAAGCCCTGAGAGCCCTGGACACCCTATCCCTGGCACGGGGGAGCCTAGGCCCCCATCGATCCTGAGGTAGTAACTGGGTGACATTTCAGGGGGTCTGACCTTTCCTGAAGGAGACCTGGGGCTGCGGTGGTTAAATACTCAGCTATTAACCGCGTGGCCGGCAGTTCAAACCCACTGGTGGCTCTCTAGGACAAGAGGAGGCAGACTGCTTCTGCCAGACCACAGCCTCAGAAGCCCTGTGAGGCAGCTCTGCTCAGTTCTGCAGGTGGCTCTGAGTGGGCACTTAAGGGTTTCTTTTTCAGGGTATCCTAGTTGCACTGTGGGTTAAGCGTTGGGCTGTTAACCACCAGGCCAGTAGCTTGAGCCCACCAGACCATGTGTGAAAGTTGGGGTGTTCTTCTCCCCTAGAGACTTCCAGCCTCAGAGACCCAAAAGGGTAGTTGGACTCTGCCCTCCAGTGTCACTGTAAGTCAGAATAGACTTGGTGGCAGTGAGTTTGGTTTTGGGTTTTGATGGGGCCACCAGCTCCGTTTCCTCAAGAATGATGACCAGCCCTCACCTGCTTTTCACGCTGACAGGCTATGGCCACCGGGGCAGGGTTGCTGTATACCGCCAAGGAACCAGGCGTCTCTACTGGCTGCCGGTGCTGCTAAAGCCAGCCTGCCAAGTCCTAGAGTGATGAAGACTGGCGGGGACTGCCACCTAGAGGGGCCAGCTGAGTGACCTTGGCCAAGGGGACTCTACCTCAGGACTGCCAGACAGTCCCCCAAGGGCCTCACCTTGAACTCAGTCTAGTCTAGGTTTGAATTTCCACTGTTTGGTGATGGCATGGCTCTTCAGTGAGGCTGTTTCCTTGTCTATAAACTGGACATGATCTAAATCCTATTTACCTGTGTGTCCCACCCATCAAGTCTTTGGTTTATCATTGAGCCCCCAATTAACAATTCCCAAGATTCTGTTTGGCTCAGCTTCTGTATTATTTGTTATTTATGTCTATTAAAACAACAACAACAACTCGTATGGATTGTTACAAGAGCTATAAGAGCTCCAATAAAATTATTTTTAAGTAAATT